GTGTGTGTGTTGTTGTTTTTTTTTTTTTGTCTTTTCGGGACAGGGTCTCCCTGTAGCCCCAGCTGGCCTGGAACTTCTATGCAGACCAGGCTGGCCTTAATCTCGCAGAGAACTGCCTCCCTCAGCCTCCCTCAGCTGAGACTAGAGGTATGCGCCACCATGCCCGGCTGTCTAGCTTCTTAACAGCTCTTATACAGGATTCTGTTTCTTATACTTATACCTAAAATCATCTAAACCATATCCCATAAAAATCTTCTTTTGACAATCTGCTGCTGAAAGTCCTATGGTATACCATTGTGTACAATATCTTTGCTACATCAAGTGGGAAAAATAGAACTAAAATACAAAATTAAAAAGCTTATTAAACTTTGAGTGTATTTGTGTTCCTGATGCTCTTGCTTGGAGGACATAGCCCTGTAGAAAGAGGCTGAAAAATCTCATTTTATAGATGCGAAAACTGAAGTTCAGCCAGAATATGTGACTTTTCTAAACTCTCAATCATGAGTAAAACCCAAGCTTCCTGATTCCAAATCTCAAGCAGTGCCTTCCAGATGGGGCCCTCCAGAACCCTGCTCCAAGGTAAGAATACTATTTGCCATCACCCTGCAGAGGATGAAGACTATCTTGAAGTAGGATGTTGTATGTGTGCCATATGCTATGACTAGGGATTCAACAGGGGCACACCACTCCACAGCCAAAGTGGCAGTGCTCTCTTTTACAGAAGAGGGAACCGAGTATATGAGAAAGGACAACTGGGCCAAGGTAACATAACCGGGAAGTGGCAGAGCTAGGATTCTACCCTAGGCGACAGCAAAAGGATGATTAACAGGCAGCTTTCCTTGAGGTCAGAGAGGACATTGTCTTTATAGCATGTTGGGATGGATTTCTGGTGGGGCCACCAGAGTGGAAACAATGTCAGGAAGGCCCTAAGGTCCAGAATAAATGCACACCTTAACTGTGAGTAGAGGGCAGAGTGTGTAAGGAGGGGCTAATGTATATGAGGGAAATCTCATGACAGGACAGACCTACAGAGAAAAGAAAACTATAGAAAAAGAAACCTAGAGAAAAGAAACTGCTTAGATCTAGTCAGCACTCAGATCTGTGGGTTAACTATCAGGGTGACTTTTCACCCAGATGCACACCCCCTCACAACCCAGTTCCAGGAATGTAGGGGTCATGATCTGAAGGACAGTTTCCCGACCTCTGGACTAAGTATACAACAAAAGCAAAAACCAAACACTGTGATAAAAGGCAGTACCTCCAATGTGGCCTGGAATCGACTACTGACCTTCCCTTCTGCCACTGGACCAGGAGCAGGGGGAATCTCTGGCTACTAAGACCAATGAAAAGATACGAGTAATGAAGACAAGCCAAGATTCCAGCTGCCTTTTCTATGCTCTGAAACAACAGCCGTCATTTAAATGTGTTAGCCATGTGGACAGTACTATACTGAACATTTTTACAGGATATGGGTTAACAGGGAGGAAGGAAACCAGGCCCTTCCAAGCCAAAGTCTGATGGGAAGGGGCCTGGAAGGGCATCTCAACCATTTTCCTTTTGATATTTGGTGACCTCCACACATCACCCCCAGCTTCTGTGTGAAGCTCTCATGATGGGTTCCTGCAACACTGGAAGCTTACATGGCATTTTCTTGACAGCTACTATCTTTAAACCTGGAATGTCTGCCAAAGACCTTTTTATTAAAGGCTTGGTCTATAACCTTTGGCATTATTGGTAGGTGGTGAAATGTTTAAGAGGTGGAGACTAGAAAGTGGTTTTAGGCAACTGGAAGAATACCTTCAAGAGGATTGTGGGACCGTGGTCTCTTCCTCTTTCTCTCATTCTTCATGGCCATAAGGTCAACTGATTCAAGCTTCTACCATGAGTCACTGCCTCATCACAGGTACAGAAATAAAGGGACAACTGACCGCAGAGCAAATCAACCTTTCCCCTTTTAAGTCGATTATCTCAGATATTTTGTTAGAGTAGTAAAAAGCAGACTAACCCAGAAGAATAGCTATGGTGGAAATATAGTTCAGGGGCTGATGAGACATCTCAGTGGGTGTTGTGTGAGAGACATGAACTGGGGAGACATAAACAAATCTCTACTCACTCCAGAAAAGGACCAATGACATCCCAAAATAAGACATCAGCAAAGTTCAACTTGGTGAACCAATGAGTTTACAAAAGGATAGATGAAGGGGACTTACAGGAGCAGAAATGACTCAAAGATAGCTGCATCACTAAAGCCCAGTCCAGCATGGGTGACAGCTCATGAAAGCTGGAAGCCTAGAGCTCATTGCACACCTTGCAGGCAGCTCAGGAGGCTCAAGAGTGTCTCTTTCATTCAGGTCAGATGATGTGAGACCCTTTCAGGACACTCCTACAGGCAGTTTGAGTGGTCTCTGCTTCTTTAGGGTGATTTGTCAAGTTTGAGCCTCTTCTAGATGGTCTGAGTGTTTCTCTGTAGTCCTTGCTACTTATATATGCTTGGGAGGGAAGGTCTAGTGAATCTGGTTCATTTGCGGACCTTCTGGAACCTATCGAGTTGTTTACTTCCTGAGTTTAAGGAGCTTCCCTCAGGATGGACTGTTTCACCTCCCTTTAGAACATCCTATATTTTACAAGGTTTCCTCCAAATGGAATGCTTAATCTTGGAGGAAATTGTTACATAACAGTGAGTAAAGGTGCTTGCTGTTAAGTCTGAAGACCTGAGTTCGATTCCCAGAACCCACATGATGGATGGAGGGACTCCTGCAAGCTGCTTTGTGTCCTTTGATTTCCACATGTGTGCCATGACACATGCATGTACACATACACACAAATAAATGTTAAAAAAACTGAAGTTAAGAATTGACCGAATTGTCCTTCCTAAGAATATTGTTCCATTTCTTCTACACGGTCTTGACTGTCAATGAAACGTGGCTCGAGCTATTTACCCACGAGATGCCCATTATCGTCTCCCCTTTTGCTCCTTTCTCTTTTGCACGTGTTTCATATCTCACTTGAATGACTCTTAGATACTCAAGTCAGAAACTTGAGCATAGAACTTCTCAGCCTTTGCCATTCGCACCCGATAATTCCCAGGTTCAGTCATTTATACTTCCTAGAGGTCTCTCACTCGTCTACCTTCTATATCCAGCTGCCTAATCCTGGCTACCCTCACCTGCCACTTTAATGATCCTAAGTTTTTCCTTATAGTCCTATAACATCTAGTTTTATGTTCTTTCAATCTTTCACCTCACCATAGAATAAGCCTTACAAATTTAATATGAGCATCTTTTTTTTTTTTTGAATTCCTCTAAAGACCCTTGAGAACACTCACAGTCTTTAGCAGTTTGTGGGTCCTGCTTCTGTCAGCTGGCACCTTGCCTCTTACTACCTGCATCTCCCCTTGTGAGTTCAAGCTGACTTAGTATTGTGATTTTTCCTCACCTTCGGATGATTTCACGGGGTCTTCACTCTGTGAAACTTAGAGAAAACAGTCCAAAGGGATCATGGATCATCTTTGAAGCTCACACATGTTTCCTAAGAGTCCTTTTTGAAAACTTTTTCATTTGAAATAATTTTAATCTCACAGAGACGTTGAAAGACTAATAAAGAAAGTTTTCATGTATCCTCACATTATTTACTAATGATAGGATCTAGCAAGCTATTGATGGGACAAATATCAAGACTGAAAAATTGATATTGGGATTATATAGTACCAAGATAGAGATTTCTTTGGATTTAATTTTTTATCTGCCTTCTTGTTTTTCTTGATTTTTTTTCTATGAAGCTTGCTTAAAAAATATAGGTCTATGTAACTACCACGATCAAGATGCAGAATTGCTTCATCACTCCAATAAAGTTTCCTGATGGTACATCTTTAAAGCAGCCCTAGATCTCTGTCAACCACCAATTTGTTCTCAGTGACTTTAGTTTTATTATTTCAAGAATGTTATTTTATAATGAATTATATAGTTTATAAACACTTGACATTTAGTTTCTTCAACATGTTTATTATTACATGAATGATTTACTCTTTCTTCTGAGAGTTTTTTAATATATGGCTTATCATTCACAGCTGAAGGGCAATTGGGTTATTTGTAGTAGTTTGGGTTATGAAACTGAAGCTTCTAAAGCATGGCACATGCATAGAATGGACTTTTCATTTCCCAAAAGGAATGAAATCATGTGACATAGATAAATCAGAAGACATTCTGCTAAGCAAAAGAAGCCAGACACAAAAGGATAAGTGAGTCCAGCTCTGCGAAGCAGCTAAAAGACCTAACATTTTAGGAACAGAGAGTAGAACAGTAGTTGCCAACGGTGGCAGGGAGCTGGGCAATTATTGTTTAATGTGTAGATTTTCAGTTTGGGAGGATGAAGCGTTGCAGGAGATGGATCGTGACAACTACTCAATAATGTGAATATTCTTACTGACTTATACATTTAATAATGGTCAAAATGGTAGATTTTATGTCATGTATATTTTGCCACAATAAAAAATAAATGACTATAATAGAACACATTGTAATTAATATGAACAAAAATAGCCTAAGGTAAGAGGATTGGATAGGACTACCTTAAATATTTGAATAAAAAAAAGAAAAAGCCAGAGATTGGGCTGTTCCAGTCAGAGATGGGAAATGTGGAGTGTTCTTCATGTATGAATACAGCAAAAAGTCTGCTGTCCTTCATAGATCATCTGTGCACTTGCGCATGTCTTTGTATATAGGTATATAGTTGATGTCCATAAGCTTATGTGTGTATTCATGGATATGTGTGCTTCTGATTGGAAACAAGGATCTTGATATGATTTTACACTTGCACCTATTTATTATGGCAGCTCGTTTGTGAGAATTAGCAAAATGGATGTCAATTGAAGAAAAAATCATGCCACATTAAGTAGACAGTCATATTGTAATTCTCCCTGAAGGCCTCTGGGGAATGCTCCTAAGAAAAATATAACACAGTCCTACAGAGAGTTGTTTATTAATCTGGGGTTGAAGGTCAGCCCGAGTTATCTCCTTTTCACCAGGTTCAGCTCCCTGCTCACTCTGAGGCATCTGGCAGAGGCCCAGGTTGGAGAGAAGCCCCCGTGCTACTGAATCCTCACTGTGTCAAAACCCTGTAAGTCATTTCTGGTGAGTGGATTTGAGCTCCTAAATCCAGAGTCTGGGGATCTGATTGACTTTGGAGGCATCTTGGCATTCTAGGGGTGGGGTAAGAGGAATGGCAGGCAGAAATCATGTTGGTGACAGCTCTTTCTCTGCTTGCTGTGACGTAGGAGAGTTTTCTTAATGCTCTATTTTCAAAGAAGACTGTGTTCAAAGTCATGGAACACAAGTGTGACCTATGGGTCTGGGCTGTTGTTGTGTCTAGGGAGGAATAGCTGAAGGAAAGTCTTGAAGGATAGATGAAATGTTGTGATTAAGGAATGAGAGAGGGATTCAAGGCAGGTCGTTCAGCAGTTTTGGCTCACAGGATTCAGAGACACCTGCTAAGAAGTAGAGAGAGATTTGGGTTCCAGATGCTCCAAAGGGCAGGTAAGGGGAGAGAGGGAGATCCTTCAGAACATTGTATCTACAGAAATTCCCACTCCCCAAGTCAACAGGCATGAGTGAGCTGCCAATGTGAAGTCCTGTTCTCACTACCATGAGAAGCACATTTGTACGCTTCCTACTACAATACCAGAGGCCTGGGCACTGGTGACCCCTTCAGAAAGACCCTCATTGCATGCTGTTTATGCCCTCTTTTGTTAAGATACTGGCCATATAATATCACAAAGAATGTTTGCTTTTCAAAATACCCAGTCTGGACACCAGGGGTGAATAACCTATTTGTATAGGGTCTGTCCCTGACTTATAGGACAGTGGTCAGGTTGGTATGCATATGCTGATTAACTAAAAAAGATGAGCCAATGTTTCATGATTTTTTTCACACCAAGGTGAGGACTATGTCCTTGTTTCCATTTTTCCTTCTCCTGAGTGTGGTAACAACATCGCATGCAGAGGCTATAGCTACAGGGGATGTCAAGGATACCTGCTCTGTGATTGCCTGCGGTTCTCCAGGCCTGAATGGCTTTCCAGGCAAAGATGGACATGATGGTGCCAAGGGAGAAAAGGGAGAACCAGGTATACATTGTTCTATCTCGTTCATGTTCATTCTTTCCATTCTGGAGGAAACTGACTAGAGATACCAGGAGAGTAACATCTTATTTAGATAGACTGTATTTCCACCAGCAACACACTGCAACTTGAAACGGAGATACAGTGCCAGTTCTTTGACATCTTGAACTTTCACACAGAAGTTGGTAATGTTTGCCTTGTATGTCCAAAGAGTGGGCCTCCTGTCATGTGGTCTCATGGAACACAGAGGAATTAACTCCTCTTTGTGTCATTGGAAGCCATGACTCAGAAAGGTTGGCCCGGGGTCCGCTTCCTTTCTAGAGTATGGGATGAGGCATCAAAGTCTTGGAAAAAGAGAGCAAAACCACAGATATTGACCATGTTTTGTTTTCTAACAGGTGAGGGGCTCAGAGGCTTACAGGGCCCTCCTGGAAAGGCGGGACCTCCAGGATCCCCAGGGATTCCTGGATCACGAGGCGCAGTGGGTCCAAAAGGAGATCGTGGAGAGACTGGAGGTAAGAGCACTTCAGAATGTCTGAGCTGAAGACATCTAGGATTCTGGAACCTAGAATGTCAGGTAGGATGTGTCTTTTTCTCAATGCCTTCTCTAGAGATTTCTTTTCAGCCTTAGTAAAGCAATTTGTTTGAGAAAAAAATAGCGAAGAAGTTAATCTAGAGATTGTCATTAAGCTAGGAAATCAGGGAGTGCATGCGTGTGCATATGAAGTATATGTGTTCATGGACTGTCTTTGGATGTGACTAGTTTTTAGGGTAAAATCCTGAGCTCTGGAAACCCCAACAAGCTATGCTTGGCCATGCAATTAAATATGCTAATTAAGTACATGAACATTTAAGAGAGTAACAAATGAAGGGGCCCAGTGACCCCATCTGTCTTCATTTTAAGTAAAAGAACAGATGGGGCAAGGGACAAAATGTACGTGTAATTAAGTAGTCCTCGTGTAGGTATGATTTCATTGATCATTGTCTTGGCAAGGTGGTCTCAAGAGGCCTTTCTTGCTATTATCACTTGAGGGGATCAGTCTGGTTTCTACAAGATGATCACTTCTGATCCAGGGAATAGCCTTGCCCTCATGGATAATTAGTCTCATTTGGGGCCTGGTCTGTCCTGCAAGAATTTGTTCTTCCTGGAGTCTGAGGTGATGATGGTATCTCTGTACCTTCATCCTTGAAGAGGGATGAGATAGGTTAGACAGACAGTCTTTGAACAATTAACCTGTAGAGGTGAGTGGGTGTTTCAAAGTAAAGGAGCAGGACACTTCATCCTTCTTTTAGTTACCTTGTGATCCCAAGCGAAGAGTGGAGTTTTTAAGCACAAGTAGCTTCTAAGTGTCTGCTTCAGATAAAGTAGCAGGCTAAGTTTGATGTTTTAGGCCAGGTGAAATGGAGATAGTTTTCTCCTTCAAAGAATATCAATGTTTAAAAACCTGTTTTTCTCAATCTGGAAGATACCCCACTCCCTAATATGTATAGTTCTAAGATATCACCTTAACATTGCTTTTCACTGTTTAATTTTCTAGAGTGTGATACTGGCATGTTGAACTCAGAAATAGCAGCTCTGCGATCAGAACTGAACATCATCAAAAAGTGTAAGTTTTCTCTCTTCCTCTTCGGCAGCTTAACACGTGGGAAAGGTAGAACGCAGCACTTGCCCAGCACAGCCATGAAATTGTCTGCTACTTGAAGAAGCGTTTTTCATACGCTGATCTCATGCAGTCTTCTCAACAACCTTTTGGTCGAAGCAGAGGCAAATGGAAATTAAATTATTTACTTAAATCCAGAGTTAATAAGTGATAGGACCAGTTTGTAAATTGAAGTCAGTCAGAATGCAGAGACCTTAATCTTGTATGCTCTGATCTCTGCTCACTGAAAATGGGATCTGGATCACTTTGTAATGCTGGGATCTAGACCTGGAAATGGAGCCAATCACGTTTCTTCTGGCTATGGCCCAATATTCTGACAGTTAGCAGTGTGGTAGAATTCAGAATTTCAAGTCGCCTGTGCTCTACAATGTTGATATAAAAGTACAAAGGCTTTGTGTCCGCTTATCCCATCATTTTATGGTTGTATGATTTGACAAGGAAAAAGGAGGCCACCAGTGAAACTTGACTTTTTGCTAAAAGAAGCAAATTTTGTTTTATATAGGTATGTTTTAAATACCTCACAGCGGGTTTCATGAGTGAAAACATTTGTTGTTTATCTGAAAATTCAAATTTAACTTGAGACGCTGCATTTTATCTGTCAGTTCTACTCTGGCAGTGTTTTACTAGACATATGAATTTGGCTGATTTAGAAGATAAACCAGTGTGACCTTTTTCACATTTTAGGGCTGTTCTTCACTCTGGTTGAAGAAGTTGAGAAGAAGTTCTTTGTGAGCAGTGGTAGAAAGATGAGCTTTAATGCAGTGAAGTCTCTGTGCTCCCAATTCCAGGCCTCTGTGGCCACCCCCAGGAATGCTGAGGAGAATACGGCCATCCAGAATGTGGCCAAAGATGTTGCCTTCTTGGGCATCACAGATGAGGAGAATGAAGGCCAGTTTGTGGATATTACAGGAAACAAAATCAGCTATAGTAACTGGAATAGTGGTGAGCCCAACAACGCTAACTCCCAGGAAAACTGTGTGGTGCTCTTGTTAGATGGTACATGGAACGACATTGCCTGTTCCAACTCCTTTGTGGCAGTCTGTGAATTCGCTAACTGAGGGGATATGTCCCTTGGCCCCCCTGAATCCTTCACTGCACTTCACAGGTCCACAATCTTCTTTGAAACATACAACATATATCTATTTTTTTCTTACTCAGTATTGAGTTGTTCCTTTGTGGACAGTTAGAGAGCCTGAGAAGAAAGGGTCAAATGACGGGATGAAGTGAGAAGCTGACAGCAGTGAGTGAGGGTTTCTAGTTCAAATTGAATCACTAATAATAATCAATACCCACATAGAGCAATAGCAGCAATGGTAGTAATTATATAGTTTTAAGGCTTTCCATTAGCTAGAGCCTACACTTTGCATCTTGTAATAGTTCTCTAATTTAATTAAGCTATAATGCTCACATCTTTAAATTTCTTTATTTTTTTATTTATTTTTTCCTGAGGTAGGATGCA